TGGTTTGAAATAAACGTGAGTACCATCAGATTTTATAAATATGTTCTAACAATACCGAACAAACGTGAGTACATAACCATGTAGGCAATTTGTCGGTATAGCACAGCGTTACATATTTTGAAGTACCTAATATGTATAATTTTTGAAAGAAAATGACAAAACCTTGTCCAAATAAACGGGCTCTGCCAACGGCTTGTCCAGAAAATATAGCCATGTAATTTGGTCTGTCACATTGAGTAAAAAGCGACTCTGTACTACAGTGCGCATAGTGTCCCTCCCACTTCGCACCATCTCAAGTGTATCTTGAATTGGCTTTTCATTCTCGCTGAAGGACGCGCTGCAAGAAATGTAAATGGTGCGTGAACAATTGAGGGGAATACTTTCCAAATCAGTGTCAGAAGAAAGCAAATGTCATCATCATCACTGTATAATAAAAGTGAAAGAAAAATTATCATGTGTTTTCTTTGAATGGGCGCTTGGAAGTCCACTAAAAAGACCGTGTGTATGACAATCTTCCTAGAAATTTCCGCGATCTGTACCTTGATCTGTACGTACCGTCTGTCACTCTTGGTGTAGTGAATTGAAGTTTGTTGACTCGTACAAGTATCTTGGATTTCAGCTTACTAACAAAGCACCAGGGCTGATGACATGGAAATTCATCACAATATCGTAATTTGTGTCGTGCGAATTCTTTGAGTCGAAAATTTGCAATGTGTTCATACTCCGTAAAGTACCTATATACTACCTACCTACTGTTCAAATGTCAGTTGTGTGCATCTTTGGCACTCCTTTCATGCATCTGTTCTAACGAATTCAAGGTGTTTTTAATAATGCTGCCAGGAGTTCTTGGCTACGATAGGTTTTGCAGTGCGTCTAATATGTTGTTCAGGAGTGTTTACCTGGCTTTGACGCGCTGTATCGTAGATCAGTGTGGAACTTTGTGTCACGTCTTGCACGATCTTCCAACAGGATTGTGTTGTCACTATTCTTTAGTGACTTGACCTACCTTCCTTGATAAGGAAAGCATGGTCCAAGAGCTGTATGGAAGTTGAGATTTTGTTATATTGGGCCTTGGTGCCCTAGCTGAGTGGATGCCTCGTTTATGGACCTAGAGTCCTGCCAATAAAGGGCTCTCTCTCGCTCCTCTCTCTCTTCTCTCTCTCTCTCTCTCTCTCTCTCTATCTCTCTCTCTCTTCTCTCTCTCTCTCTCTCTCTCTCTCTCTCTCTCTCTCTCTCTCTCTCTCTCTCTCTCTCTCTCTCTCTCTCTCTTCTCGCTCTCCTCTCTCTCTTCTCTCTCCTCCTCTCTCTCTCTCTCCTATCCTTCCTCTCTTCTCCTCTCCTCTCTCTCTCTCTCTCTCTCTCTCTCTCTCTCTCTCTATCTCTCTCTCTCCTTCTTCTCTCCTCTCTCTTCTCTCTCTCTCTCTCTCCTCTCTCTCTATCTCTCTCTCTCTCTCTCTCTCTCTCTCTCTTCTCTCTCTCTCTCTCTATCTCTCTCTCTCTCTCTCTCTCTCTCTCTCTCTCTCTCTCTCTCTGTGCCATAATCCAAATTCTTCTGGAGAGAGTGCTATGCTACCAGTTATGCGTCATGGTGAATGGACAATAGTGAATAAGCAACCATCAACCACTGAGAAGAGGTTCAAAAAAGCATTCCTTCTGCCGCAAAAAAGAAAAGAAAAGAACCCACGTCCATCGGGGGGGGGGGGGAGGGGGAGTGTCACAATGGCTTTCCAGGCGCTCACTAACGGCTGGCAATTGGCATCCAATAAAGATTGCACTGAACCGCGGCGTCGACTCAGTCGTCTCTGCGATAGCCAGAACGGTGTTATATATTGTACACTATCACAAACAGCAGACAGTGTTTGTGACAATCCATTTATTGGTGCAATGACACAGACCGCACCGCTGACTTCACCAAACATTTCAAATGTTTAGTAGGTGCCTGAAGCATTAAGTCAAGAACTCAGTTAAATGCAGCATAATATTTAAATTGTATGATAAGTTCAAGCTATGTGTTCCTTTTACATCTGAAAGAAAATGCAAAATGTTTGCACCTTATACCTATGTTCTTTGAAAAACGAGATAGTACTACATAAATCAGTGGTTTTTAATAGGAAAATAATTGCTTGAGACTGAAGCACGTGTAATCACGCCCGGCGGCCGCGGCAGCAGCACCCCGCCAGACACCTTCAACAGCGACATTTCGCCGCGAACTGCAGGCTCCCAACGACTTACATATCTGAGAAACACCGCCACCGCGTTCTTAAAAGCCAGCGACAAACAGGCAAAAGCCGGTGTCGAGAGCTCTAATTTTACATCTTACTACAGCGGCTTGCGGCGACACAGCAGGCCATTTGCTAATGAGGTTGGGGCGGTAAGTCCCTGTGGAGGATATGCTTACAATGCAGTGTTTTCGAGTTCCGGCTGCCTTCCACAGCCGGTAGCCTGACAACAGCCAGCAGGAGTGAGGGAGCGACGGGAGGAGCACGGCGGCCGCTCTCTGTCTCTCACTCCCTCCTCTCTCTCTCTCTCTCTCTCTCTCTCTCTCTCTCTCTCTCTCTCTCTCTCTCTCTCTCTCTCTCTCTCTCTCTCTCTCTCGTGATTGGATCACGCCCGGCTGAAACTCGGCCCTGCTTATGAGATGACTCTCGGTACGACCCGGACAGTTCACGGGCGGTTCACGGCCGGCTCAAGGCCGGTTCACGGAGGGTTCACGGAGGGTTCACGGACGGTTCACGGAGGGTTCACGGAGGGTTCACGGACCGAGAAACCGGCCCCCGGAGACACCGGCGGCCATAGAAGTACAGCCCCCGGGCGCTCTTCCGAATGAAACCAGCGGTTATAGAATCACTGACCGGAGCCCATTCTTTCCGGAGACACCAGCGGTTATATAATTACTGACGGAAGGAGGCTCTGCAGGGAGATACCAAGGATCGCAGAATTACCGCCTGAAGGACATCTTTCCGAGAGACTCCGGCGTTCGTAGAGACAAGGATGATATCCCAGGAGACACACACCAGTAGACAATTGACACGGAGACACGAACTATTTCCTGGGAGGAATCACCAGCCAAGAACCGAGGAACAATTTCCGGGATCACACGCATCGGTACCCCATGTCACACATGAATTACGGAATGAAATCAGACACTGGCAGCACACCATCAAAGCCACTAATGTCTTGGAATTACCATGGAGATGGAATTACCATCCATTTACCATTACTAATGTCTACCATTAGGTACCATTACCATTACCATTTACCATTTACCATCCATTACTAATGAAATGTCTTACATGTTCGAGCTTCTTTGGTAAGCTATTGTTATTTCACGAGTGTTTTATATACATTTTTATATAAGTAATTGATCTCACGCAGGCCTTCAGGCTCTAGTTCACTCCCACTCCCATTCAATTTGTGGCATGAGTTTTTTCACCCATTTGTCTATCACCGATGACGATTCTTTGAATATTCGTACTTGTCATATCGCATGCCGAAGTGTACATTTCATATTCCCTTTTACAGTCGTTCATTCACTTTCCCACGATCGCTGATTATTTAGGGACATATTTGTGTTATGAGGTTATGGTGGAGCCAACAAATAACTAAATGCACGTCAATAAAATATTAGTTATTTGTTGGATCCACCGATAACCTCATTTCCCACGATCAATGTCATCCTACCTCGCCATCCTCACACGACTCTGCGTCGTTTATCAGACGCGGCATCAAAGCGTCTCCCATATCCCACCACCGGCCCTCTCCCCACCACCCCTCGCTCCCCATTACCGTCAGCCACCGTCCCGGTCCCAATCCGCTGATGGCATCTGCTCCCAACGAGCACATCAAAGCCCATCAAAGGCCGCAGCTGAGCCGCGCTACTTTTCTTCAGATGGCGGCGACATATGTGATGCGGTATACATTACAAGTTCTACTAAACGTAGGTAACATGTTTGTCCGCGGTGGGTTTTCTGTTTGTCTTTCATCTCTACCCTTAGGATGCAGTGCGTACTGCGTAGTTTATCCGGTAGGAGAGAAGGTTGGCGATCTCTTATTAAGCCCGAGTAGCATTGACCATTGCCCGGAGAAAACTGCGCAGATGTGATAGAGTTAGAGACCAGCAGTTTTGTTGGCATTGACAAACTCGCTGGGAATCTTACGTAATTGACACGCGTATCAGATCTCCATTGACAACACGGTTCTCTGGTATTGAGTGCCGGGACAAGGGCGACTCAGTGCTCACACTGGGGAGATATCTGCAAGTAATGAGCATTTACAGTCAGGCGCGGCCCTGATCCCTCACCCTGTCCCTCCCAGCGACCCGCCCTAACCCCTCCAGCGCCCATCTCGTATGCTGACTGAGCGATCGGGACCGGTGCCGATGAAATTCAGCCTAGCCACGTTCCCAGAGCGTCCACATTGATATTCAGCAAGCGCCAATTGGCAAATTGCCAGACTGCGATTATGTTCGATTTTGGACCTGAACGGATCGGTGGCAGGCCGGAATTCGTTCAGCTGCCGTTTGCATGCAGCGTCACGGAGGCACTGACCCGCCGGGGCAGCACGTGCGAAATCACTGATGGCTCCCGAGGTCACCTGAATGGCACTGTCGGGCAGCCGTGGAGAGGGGTAGAGATCGGGACTGGTATTGGCTGTCTAAGGATAGGCACCCACGTAAAACCATTGCGCAGTGATGTAATGGGCGATGGTTCCCAGGTGGTTTCATCCAACTGGCTAGCTAAGGAGGAGCAATAAACTCACAGTTATCTGTCTCCACCACCCCATATTTAATCGACCTGAGTACCGAGGCACCTCCCGCTGTATGTAGAACAGATATTAGATGCTTTGACACATTTGCCGAATTCGTTCCTAGATAAAAAGCCGTTCGAATAGTTCCCACCACATCCTGCCTTTCCCTTTTCTGGTGACCAAAATTACTCACAGACTATCGGGTTTGGTTCCGTCTTCGCAATGTAGATTTATTAGTTAGACATGGTCGAAACTAAGAGGCACATGCTGTATTATGCATGATACATCGAAGAAAAATATCAACAGTCAGTTCGGCCTTATTCTAAATGCACATTCGTAAATCTTGCATCACTCATCAGGATGCCATGACCTAATAAAACATGAGAAGATTCGATTATGTATGCCTAAAAAACAATAAAAATAAGACAATATATGCTATCATATCAACAAAATATAATTAGCCAACGAATTCACCATTCGTGCAAATGCTTTCAAACCAGAGGTCGGCATGAGAGCCGGCGAAAATAGAGAATACTCAGCTCCGGGGGAAGTCCACTTTCCAATCGCATGCACTCATGAGTCTTGGCCCCCGCCGTCACATCATCAACTAAACTGGCGCAGTGAATGAACCGCAACGAGCCGCCATCTCTCCTGAGATTTGGAAATCATTCTCTCAAGCAGCTCACATTAGGGAGATTTCCTCCATTCCCGATGCTATCCATCACCAATGGTATAGCCTCATGGAGGCAGCAGTGGACCGGACGACTCCGACCGGGTACACCAGGCGCGCCTCGCCCGCGGCCGCGGCAGAGTACACCGGGTGCACCTCGCCCTAGGCATCGGTAGGATTAGAGGCCGCCGATCTCAGACAGGGGCGTTCTGTCGTTCTCCCGACAGGAGCGTCAGGAGCACGCTCCCGACAGGAGCGGTCTCCTGACGCTCCTGTCGGGAGCGTTCGGACTTGAGAGTGGCGAAGAGCTCTTGGTGGTAGCGCCCCAGGTGTCCCCACAGATTGCTCGTTGAGTTGTTGGAGTAGGCGACGATGGCAGCGCACATCTGGCACTGGAGTCGGCCCTCGGCTCGGGGGTTGAAGTAGGACCACACCTGGGAGCGCTGACGCACCGGCGGCGGAAAACCCACTGCAACAGAGCGAGGCCAGAGACATCTGGTGGGTGCCACGGAAACCCTACAGCAGTGACATCTGGCGGAGCGAGAGGGAGCAAACCTTTGAACCAAAATCTACGGATCTATTACACATTGTAAAGGTCAAAGGGTACGAAATAGTGACTTGAGACGTTGAAACTGATCATTCTGAGAAAAGTTATTGTGACTATGAATTGATCACCTCTGTTCAAATTCGAGCATAAGTTATATCTCACGCATTTAACTGCTAGCCAACAACTGAGTTAAAAAGTGTTCACTCGCGAGCGTGACCTCAACTACAGCTACCAGACACCAAACAAGGTCCACGCTCTTTCTATTTACATACCTTGTCCCGCACGTCGGCCTCAATACAGTACCAGTCATCAATGCATAGTTAAATACAATCCAAAGGATGAAAATAATGGCATGTGGACGCACAGCCACAAAAGTCGTACAATTCGATGATGGAAAATATATGAAGCTGGCACCAGCCTTGGCGAAGCTCTCTAAACAGTACAGGCGCGACAACTCCCTTGGCAGAAGAGGGAGCGGAGTTTCCCTGAGCTATGGATGACTAGCATCCTACAGCAGAATGATACACGACCTCGGAAAAAACAACTGTCTGACGTCCTGACAATGGCAGGGAAGAGATCTAACGAGTGGGCGGCTCAGTACCAGAAGTTCAGCGACAACACAAGCCCGAAGCAACCAGCTATCTACACGGTGGGTTCGGTGGGCAAGAAGCCATCAGGCCTCGGCCAGGGTGCGAACAAAGCACCTTCCATGCAGTGACAGGGGCACGAGAGTAGGAGGAGCAGCCAAACACACACAGAGTGACTGACTGAAGCTGCCGCACCGTCATCCACATCGGCAGTGCATCCAATAGCGGTTGTATCGCTCTACAGTTTCCCTGCCAGAGAGAGAGTTCTCGCTACTGCCAGAAATCGGGCAGGGAAGGAGCGGATCTCAGACACTGTTAGTGTTCCCTAGGATCACGTCAGGGCCTGAGAGGAGGCCGGCACGGCCTCTTGAGTCAGCGGTGGCGAAACCTCCTGAGACACAGGCGGGGGGAGCAGAGCCGGCGGCGGCAGCTCCGGTGGCGACATCCAGGGTGTCTCCGCCGCGCCGGGCTGCTCCGACTGCCCCATCCACATGGCACCGTCACCGTCCGCGCTCCGTCGCTGCGCGGCCAGCCTGTGCTCGTCAGCGGGCGCGGGGCGCCGTCGGCCGGCCGCCTCTCGCCAGGAGCCCGCCAGCACCGCGTGCTGCCCGCCGAGCGCGGCAATGTCGGCCGCGTGCAGCCGCTTCAGGTGCACCCAGAAGTTGCCGCTGGAGGTGGGCGCGCCGCGGATGACGCGTCCGCAGAACCGACACGAGGCGGTGGTGTCCGAGAGACGCACGTAGTACATCCAGACGGGCGGCCGGGCGCCGGGCCGGGCCGGCCGCGGCGGCGCCGGCACTGCGTCTGAAACACGGCCGACCGCACTGAGCTCAGACGCCGCCGCGGACCGCCGACCGGCACCGGCGCCGGCCACCCGCCCCGACTGGCCGACAAGTCCAACAATATCACCAGTCCCTACTCTGCCACACTGAGCTACACAACTTGGCGCCAGTCTCCATCCGCCCGACTGACTACGCAAGCTAACGATAACACCAGTTCCCATCTCTTCGACTCAAATCTAGCATAAAGCAGTCACCATCCGCATTACCCGCTCCGATAAGAACTGACCCCGCCGACCATCACCAATGCTTACCCCAAACCGCCCTATCTGACCCTGCCACTGTTCAGTGCCCAATCAACGACCAAGCACCGGCCTCGCCCAACCTGCCTAATCAGTAATCACTCCCATCGTCGCCCATTACCAACGGAGCCCGCAACTGCTGAAATCGAACTCCTTGGTCGCCAGCCGACATCCAATGCGAACTCCCAGCTGGGGAGGCGCATAGGGCGACAGGGATGTACAAATTACTGCACGGACTCTCTCGGGGCACAGATACGGGTCTTCTGACTCGCACAACGCAGTGTGGAAATGTGGTGAGTGGGAGAGAGAGAGAGCGGGGACGAAGGCGCTTAACGAGGGAAGGCGAAATGAAAATTAAGATAAGAATGTCCCTGAATGGAGGAGGAGAAAAGTACCTATCCAAGTTAAAGAGAATGCATATGCAGCTTATCACCCCCGTACCAATGCGAAATCAATTCTTAATCAGCACTTCACGCATGTATTCCAGGCTCAATATGAACGGTTCATGCGTCCTCAGGCACGTAAAACGATCAACAACTACCACACAGAACGACTTCCTGCGTCTGTACAGTTGCCATCAAATGATAGATCGTAGTTTCGCCATTGGGAGTTGTGTGTGTGTGTCAGGGGGGGGGGGGGCTTAGACTATCGCAACGATTTCCATTGAGACGATTGACAGCACACGCTGACGCAATGCCAGAGCATGGATGAGATAACACATGAGATTATTATCTCATCCATGGCCAGAGTATACAGGACATATCGTACCGTACCCATCCAAGGCACGGATATAACAGGTAAATGGCCGTCTGTTAATTATCAGATTCAAGCAGCAAGTCTTCCAAAATGGTACAAGGTCCCATTGTGAGCCAAATCTGACAATGTGTGATAAGGAAAAGGCATAAATTACAATCTGTTTTGTAAACATGGGTGAACCGAACTTTGACATGCATATCAGGGTTATCTGGAACCGATACCATTGAACCAGCTACGCAAAACTTCTTTGATAATACTCAACAAAGAATATGATAAAGTCGCTACGATTCGGAATTACAATTGCAATAACGTACAAGCCTACGTACAAAATACTTGGATGATGGTTACGCTAACAGAAACTCATACGTCATAAGCATAGGCTCTGTATTCCATTTGAATTTGAGTCCTACATGCATCGCGTTCTTTGGTAGCTCGCTTTTCAGTCAGCTGATGGGGGCTTGTCCAGGGACACAATTAGTACAGAGGATCTGAACGAGCTGGTCACTGGCCAGAAATACGTAAATTTTCCAACAAATGCCACGCCGAGCATCGACAGCCAACGTTTTCATATCTTGTCCAACTCGTTCTTCCAAATATCTCGCGGATAAGCTGGATCTTAATTACCCTGAGAAACCACCGCGCTTTATCTCCACAAACGCCGATACTACACAAATACATTATTCGGTAGAAAGACCCATTCTCTGCCGCCGTATAGCCAGCTAGCATCGAACTTGCATGCTTAGCTGCTACCAATTATTAATACAAATGACCGTAGTGCTTCTGTGCATATAAAACTTGATAAACATTTCGCTTCACGTTCAGTCCGGACCGAGAGCCGCTACGACTTGAAGAACCAGTCGGTGTCGGGGACGGCGGCGCTGTCCTCGACCCGCTGCGCCACGGGACCGGTGCTGGCCTCCGCCGGCGGCGCGGCCCACAGGCTGCCCGCCGACTCCGAGCGGCACGGCGCCGGCTCCGCCTGCTGCACCAGCTCCGGGTGGCGGACGCGCATGTGGCGCCACATGCCCGACGTGGAGAGCTGCCGGTTCAGCCGCAGGACGTGGCCGCAGAGCCGACACAGCCGGTCCTGGCCGCTGCCGGTGAAGTACTCTCTGACCAGGGAGCGCGGCGGAAGGCCGGGCCGACCGGCGGCCGGCGCCACCACCGCCGCCACCATCGCCGCCGCCAGGCCGTCCGTGCCTGCAACACGGGCGAGCAGCGAGTCAGAGCGGCCCGGACGGCGGCGGCGACGGCGGCGGCGGCGGCGGAGGCACCGGGCCGGGAGCGGGGAGCTGAGCCCGCCCGCCAGTACAGCCGGTACCACGAGAAGAACCGAGCTGCGCCCCATTATCACGGCGGTATCCCAATCAATAAACGACAGCGAAGACTATCGCATCCGTGTTCGCTCTCCGATTCAGCAGACTATAAATGGAAGAACGCCTTAGGCTGGCAATTTTATCCCAGGGCAGGATGGATAATTCAATAAGCACCATGATCAGTGGATCCAGTGCTAACGGCGTCACGATGCTCCAAGGGATCAGGGAGACACTCTCCTCCCCTACCGCATGTCTCCCATCACTCTCGCCACAGCTATTCGCCATTAATGTCCAGTTTCGTTCCATTCCAAGCATCTGCATTAAATACGTCTGTCACATTTTGTCGCGCTTGCCACAAGTTATGGCCTTTCTCTATCAAAAAATCATCCCCGTGAAATGCTCAAACTATTCCAAGTGTCTAAGATCCCCAAGCGGCTAGCAAATATACACAAAACTTTGAGAAGGCGGCCGGTCCACCAAAAAGTCCATTGCAGACAGGCAGGCCGTGCCCAGATAAACCCAACCCGCTCGTCATACCGCGAGTTGGAACATAAACAAAACCTTACGCCCCCGCGGCTGGCTTGCAGCGTGAGCTCTGAGAATTCAGCCTACGTAGAATGTGCCGTTTATCTTGAGAACTAACAGATAGCGTGTCACACAGCATTCAATCACGTCCAATACATAAAAAAGGAAATACAACCTAGAAAAGACGTGCGCCAAGATAAAATATTATATGTTTTTTTTTCAGGTAGTTGCTTCCGATGTGCGTCCGGTCATTGCATACAAGCATCCTAGATGTCCGAGGAGTGTGGACGGACAGGAAAACCGAAAGTCTATGCACAGAGGAGAGATGGAAATAAAGGCAAGGTACAGGTCTCGCGGGTTTTAGCGGTAGGTTTTGCACCTAGAAAATTAAGTGTACTTCAGGCTATATCTTCGTCGTCTTAAGCTTTTAAGTGTTGAAGATGCGATCGACTTGTTGGGTAACAAGCCGGCCATAATCATGTAAAATGGCTTCATCGTGTTATGGTTTTACATTTAAGTCTACGTTAATAATGGTTCGATAGCAAATTAATTATCGTCGCGATTCCACCGCCCCAGATGCACACGCGCACTCCCGATGTTAACTGTATTGAGTCCGGCTGACGACTGCACAACAATACTCTTTACTCAAGGACGCCGGAAGCTGCCGGGCGGCACAGCCTACCATCAGGCGCCGGCCGGCGCCGCGGCGGCTGGCAACAGCTGTCAGCTGACTGCGCCGGCATAGCTCGTGCCGGCTCAGTAGCACGCATCACAACACCTCCCCCCAGACGTGGGGGAGACAACACGTCTCAAGAACAAAAACGGTGCCTCCGACAAACACAAACGCACCAACGCGTGTCAGCGCACGATGGCTACACGAACTCGTACACTGGGTCCGACCAAGTCACAGTCAGCCTCTTAGGCTGTCGACAAAGTCGTTTGCTGCGCCTCACAGAGGCGTCAGGCGCGGAGGTCGCTCCGCCAGGGCGGCTGCGGGGGACTTTGTCAGCGGCTGGGGTCCCGCTGTCGGCGGTCCTGGTTCGGGCGCTGGCCCGGCCGCTGTTGCCGTCTTCGGTGATGGCGTCTTGGCTGCCATCGGGTGACGTGGTCACCATCGGCCGCAGCGGGCGGAGGTATCGTCGATTCCGCCAGTAGGTGCGGCCGCTTGGCAGGCGAGCGAGGTAATCTCGGCGGCTGCCGATGCCAACGACGACGCCTGTCCGGTCCCACAAACCAGTCTTCGGATCTTGCAGGAGAACCTGTTGACCGATGCGCAGAGGTCTCAGCGAGCGGGCGGTCACGTCGTAGCGCTCTGCGGTCTGGGACTTCAGAGCGGCTGCTCTCTCATCACACTCCTCCGCCGCGCGCTGCCACACCTCGGCAAACGCTCGGTGGTGGGCTGGCACGGTAGAGCGCAGCGGGTGACCGTACAGAATCTGGGCCGGCGAGCGGCCATCGGCCCGAGGCGCGTTCCGCAGCTCCAAGAGGCCTTGCGCGAACGCGTCGCTGTCCATGTTACCTCGGTCGCTGACTTTCTGCACGAGCCTCTTCACTGCCTTCACTGCAGATTCCGCATGTCCGTTCGACTGAGGAAAATGCGGAGTGGAGATCTCGTGGGTCACTCCCCACCGTCGCAGAAAGTCGCGGGTGTGACGGGCTGCGAACTGCGGCCCTCCGTCCGTTCGCAGAGTCTTGGGTGCCCCAGTGGCCGCGAAGGCGACCCTCAGGCTGGACACCAGGTCCTTCGCCGACGTCTCTCCAGAGCAATGAAAGACGAACGGCCATCCAGAGAGGCGGTCTACGTATACGAGATACGTTCGACCAGCCCACGAAAAGTAGTCCGCTGAGACGGCCTCAAAGACTCGAGTCGGTACCGCCTCGGAGACTAGCGGCTCCTTTTGCTGGCTCGGAAGATACATCTGGCAGGACTTGCACGCTGCGACGAGGTTAGCGATGTCCTGGTCAAGCCCGGGCCAGTAGACAACTTGTCTAGCCCGACGCTTGGTGCGCTCCACACCTTGATGGCTGGCGTGAAGCCGCTCGAGCGTCTCCCGACGCAGACTCTGGGGAATCAGGAGTCGCTGCCCGCATACCAACAGGCTGCCGTCCACGGTGAGACGGTCTCTAGCTGTCCAGTAGGGCCGCAGCGTCGGCTCCAGCTGCGACTTGTGGTCTGGAAAGCCAGCCAAGACCACGTCTCGGAGGGCGCTGAGCTCTGCATCACGCTCAGACGCCGCCCGAACCCTCTGCAGAGTAGCGTCCGGGAACAGTGAGTCTTCCTCGGTCGGATCAGCCGTGGTGATCCTGGCGATCAGGCTTGCGATCTGGTGGGCTTCCTCCTTCTCCGCCTCTTCGTCGTCTGGAGTCGGAGTATCCACCGGTGCCCGGGAGAGCGCATCCGGGATCGCGTGCAGTTTCCCTTGCCGCCAGACAGCGACGAAGTTGAACGGCGTGAGACGTTGCCGTAGCCGTTGCAGTCGCGGGTTGTCGATGTCGACGAGGCTCTTGGAGTTCAGCACTGGAACGAGCGGTCGGTGGTCTGTGACCACCTCGAACTGCTGCATGCCCGAGAGGTACATGCTGCACTTCCGACAAGCCCATGCAACTGCCAGCATCTCAATCTCGCAGACGGCGTAGTGGGACTCCACATCGGTCAGGAAACGAGACCCACACTGGATCAGTTTCCATCGTCCATCTGCATCCTGTTGCCGCAGACAGAAACCCAGCCCTCGCAGGCGAGCGGCGTCGGTCTCCAGGACTGTCCGGCGCCGCGGGTCAAAGAAGTCGAGGACTGGTGGCGAGACCAGCGCCTTCTTCACATCACTGAAGGCTTTGGAGTGCAGCGGCGTCCACACCCACTCGTTCTTCGGTCGCAGGAGGTGTCTCAGAGGCTCGGCGGCGGCCGAGACGTCTGGTGAGAAGTCACCCAGCTGGTTCACGAGACCAAGAAACGATCTGAGGTCCGTGAGGTACGCCGGCTGCGGAAACTCCGCGATGGCTCGCACCTTCTTGTCGTCTGCGGTGTAGCCTGTCTGGTTGATCTTGAATCCGCAGAACTCCACCTCATTCCCGGCGAAGGAGCACTTGTCTGGGTTCAGAGTCATCCCGTGGTCATCACATCTCTGCAGGATGTTCCAAACGTGCTCCAGGTGAGCTGAGTAGCTCGAGTCGTACGCCAGAATATCGTCTACGACTTTGCATGTCTGAGGGATGTCACCGAGAGCAGCGTCGCCTCTTCGGTTGTACTCGTCTCCTGACGAGATCAGACCCATGACGGCACGTTTGTAGCGGAAACGGCCCCATGGCGTGATGAAGCACGTTTTGTCCTGCAGCTTCTTGACGTTGATGCCCATCTGCTTCGCTGCCTCCTGAGAGATAACAGACACCTCAGCGCCTGTATCTGGCGTCCATGTCGTTTGTTGCCTGCGACCGTCACTCCGATGCAGCAGAATCTGGATCTGCGGAGCACGCGTCGTGTGCAGGCCTTGGATCATGCAGTCTCGGTGCTGCTGGTCCACTCTCTGTCTAGCAGGTGCAGATGCCGCTCGCGTCTTCATTGTGACGAGCGACACACGTCTGCCTCCATCAGACCTCCGCTGGGTCCGGTCCGTGCTCGCCGCCGGAGCGCGCGAGCGAATGGCGCTGCGACCGCGGCATGTTATGGTTTTACATTTAAGTCTACGTTAATAATGGTTCGATAGCAAATTAATTATCGTCGCGATTCCACCGCCCCAGATGCACACGCGCACTCCCGATGTTAACTGTATTGAGTCCGGCTGACGACTGCACAACAATACTCTTTACTCAAGGACGCCGGAAGCTGCCGGGCGGCACAGCCTACCATCAGGCGCCGGCCGGCGCCGCGGCGGCTGGCAACAGCTGTCAGCTGACTGCGCCGGCATAGCTCGTGCCGGCTCAGTAGCACGCATCACAACACATCGTAGATCGATTAGTTTCTGAGATATAACCGGAAATATAAAAGTGCAAAACCTACCGCTTAATCTCACGAGAGCCGTACAAGGACAAACTAGACAAACAAAGGAAATATAAGAGAAAAAGGAAAGCTTTGAGAAAATGAGCTAGTGACCCATTGAAAACCTATGATAAGATAAACAGGTAGAGAGTCTCACTGGAAGGATAGAAGGCTGTGCTAGAGAGGCAGGGAAATGGACCATTTGGCACCAGGCACCAGAGGCACCAGAGTGGCACCAGAGTGCACCAGGTGCACTCTGGTGCACCGGAGACCGTGCGGAGGGCGTCATTGTACTCACTGGCTTGTGATCCTCCGCTGTCCTCTTGTGTGACCGCCATTAGGCCATGCGCTGAAACCAATACGCCAGGTCAGGCGATATATCTCACATAGTTACATGGCACGCGACACATATCGGCATATTGCCTGGTCTGTACAGGTGCGTTTTATATTTAACGAGGGTAAGTGGGCACTAGACACATTTGCACAGCTGGCGCCAAACAGACGAAAGTACCAACCCTTGCCCATAACGATGATCACCACCGTCGTTCCATTCTTCTCATTCTTTCAAGTTCTATGCTATTTGTTTCCCATTCTTTGTTCCCGCCCCTACCAGCACATTTTATCTCAGCCCCTCCCACCACCCTGCTCCAGCCCCTCCCAGCCCTCTCAGCCCCGCTCTCTCACCCTCCGAGAGCGCCTCCAGTCCGGCCTGGTCCGGCTGCGGCTCCAGCATCTCCTCCAGCTCGTCCAGCATCGACTCCGGCTCCGGCTTCACAGGTAGGTCCAGGCCCATCGTCCTGTCGGCGCTGCGCTGCTGCTGCGGCGGCGGCGGGGGAGGAGGAGGACCGGAGCCGCCCATCGGCCCAGGGTCTGGCTGCGGCTCGGCGCGACGCCGCTTGGAGGAGGGCTGGTGAGACGGGGCGTCCGACGAACGGGACCTCTCCGGGGTCTGCAACAGGTCAGGGTGAGGTTACGATTAGGTCAGGCTCATGAATATGTCACAGTACGGAATTGAAGTTACCGAAACAAAAATATAACACAGCGACACATGACGGTCAGCGTGCAAAAACAAACCTACCATTTTTTTTTTCATCGACTGTCATAAAAACAACAAATACCTAACATTACTTCAACCTTAATCAGTTTACATACATATTATCTTCAATGTTCCTGTTACCGAAAACAGACATTTTTTCTTCTGAAAAGCGTTATCTTGTCCACTTTGACCACCATGCGTCATTAACTGCACGACCATCTTCCTCAATAACCATCCCAGTGGCCCAGTCTCTCCCCTCCCCCCCCCCCAATCAGTACCGACACTAACACGAGTGCGCCTCCCACCGTGCGACATCACCCACCTTCACCGAGTTGCGTTTGGTCTGTTCGTCGGCCAGCCCTTGGATGGCGAACGTCTCAGCCACCTGCAGGAAGGCGCCCAGTCGCGCCTGGCGCACGTTCACCTGGCCACGGTAGATGAACTCGAGGACGGCACGCATCACGTCCCGCTCCACGGTGGGCAGGACGATCACCGGGTGCTGCTGCGGCGGCACCTCCTGTTGGAACGCACCGGGCGGGTGATACTCGGCAGGGGCAGGGAACTCCTGTTGGAACGCACCGAGCGGGTGATACTCGGCAGGGGCAGGGAACTCCTGTTGGAACGCACCGGGCGGGTGATACTCGGCAGGGGCAGGGAGCTCCTGCTGGAACGCACCGGGCGGGTGATACTCGGCAGGGGCAGGGAACTCCTGTTGGAACGCACCGGGCGGGTGATACTCGGCAGGGGCAGGGAGCTCCTGTTGTAACGCACCGGGCAGGTGATACTCGGCAGGGGCAGGGAACTCCTGTTGGAACGCACCGGGCGGGTGATAATCGGTAGGGGCAGGGAACTCCTGTTGGAACGCACCGGGCGGGTGATACTCGGCAGGGGCAGGGAACTCCTGTTGGAACGCACCGGGCGGGTGATACTCGGCAGGGGCAGGGAACTCCTGTTGGAACGCATCGGGCAGGGGGCCGGTGATAGGGCGTTAGATGGCAGAGGTATGACTCAACAAAAACTATGTGAAACGTGATGATAAATGGGAAGAAGAACATCAACGGCTGAAGAGGTTTGGCATCCACGGACACGCCCATAGCACGGGGTGCACCACAACAGTTCCTAGCCGCTTATATCAAACAACTAACACTCAAGCTGCTAATAGTTGGACCTTTAACACCCCATGGTCGGTAATATTCATGGTGGTGCGCACAGCTAGCGACCGAATCCATCCAGAGGCCCGAAATTTTCATACGGAGTATGAACAGGTGTCTTGGTCTGGGCCGCTGAATGCAGCTTCAGAAGGTTGGAAGATGATAGCAACAAAAACCAGTGGCAACAGGCATAACGCTCACCTTGAGTATGTCCTTGAAGTGTGCTGAACAAGCTGAGAGTATGACCCTATGTGCCTTGAACAGGTGCCCGCCGCACGAGAGAGTGACATCTGTGAATGAGTCGTCACCACGCAGCGCCTCCAGCGACATGTGGAAGCTGCTGTGGAAGTCATTCCAGCGCAGACAAAATTCCTGGCTCTCAGACATCCTGGAAGAGGGGAGGCCGCAGGATGGTTAGGTCAATGGCAAGTTGGCGTGTGGTTTACCTCTGGTGTTTTTCTAAACTAGGTATTTGAAGTTGATCATATTGATATGGTCATTGATGTTAAAATGCATAGAATTAGGTCTACAAGATACTGTTTTTGCAGCTTTTCTTGAAAGCCAGGATCAGGATAGAATAATATTCAATGAATGCATATCAATTATCACATATCAGTTGGGGAAACTATGAGGTGAAGATAAAAAATTGATTGGTAAATAAATGGACCTTTCATGACCATATATGGGCATAAATGCAGACCCGCTACTAAGGGTGAAAAACGGTATAACAAGCCGGTACTTGCGGTATGGTATCGCTTCAACCTATCAGAGAGAAAAGGCTTCCATTTTCCACTAGGAATTAGTGTGATTTGATTAAATTGGGCGAAGAATTGACTCGAAAATGGCGATAGGAAAACGGCTTTTCTTCTGCAAGTTCTAGGCGTCACAATCAGCTGCCCATTCAATAAATGGATTGGTGTTTTGAAAGAAAATTGTTGAGGGCTGGATGAGATCCTCCCAATAGTCTGACCCAAAATGGTTGATTCAACGCATGTAATTATTTAAAAATTCGATGTAGAATATGACATGAATAAGCACCTCAACGGTCAACTTGAACTTTAAACCAGAGAAGGGACCGAAATTGAAATTGAAATCACCACATTGAATCACATAAGAAGGAAAGCCTCCTAACAGGTGAAATGAAAGGAAGACTGCAATGGCTTAAGATAAGACTCACCTGTTCAACTCACCTGTTGGGGGTTCCCTGCCTTCCAGAGTACAGCATAGAGGATGTGCATAGGATACGTGAGGAAGGAACCCGCGAACGTAGGGCTCGCCCGGCGGAGACACCACAAGGGGGTGCTGCCAAGCCGGGAACAAGAGCCTGCATAGTGACAAACACGAATTTTGCTATAGTTTCATGATACATACAATAAAAGATCGTATACAATAATGCAAACACAAATTAGGGGAAACAGGTCAACGCAATAGCCATCACATATGATAAGAGAACAAGGCATCACCCATCGAGTCAGCCAACATGGCCTTGAACCTGCTCAGGTCGGATTCACCTACGACCTGGTCAGGGAGTGCGTTCCAAGCGGTGATACAACGCTTGCTGAAGGACCTGGTCCTGACATCAGTTTGTGCTCGAGTGTGGCGGATTTTGAACATGTGGCCTCTGGTACTAGACGAGGGATCAAGTTCGAACATGGTAGTGGCATCTATACAACACTTTGCGTGGAAAATCTTCCAATATTGAATCAGATCGGCACGTAGAAGTCTGCCCTGGACCGAGTACTGGTTCAGAGCCCTAAGCCGGGATTTATAATCAAGCTCTCCCATGCCTAAGATCTTTTTAGTCCAACGGCGTTGAACAGATTCGAGGAGGCGCACGTCCCCTATATACGCAGTGTGCCATACACATGAGCAGTATTCCATGATGGGTCTTACATGAGTGTTGAATAAAGTGAGCATGAAATCAGGGGATCTGCAGACAGTTGACCTTAACAAGTTTTGGGTAAGGCCAGCAGCCTTTTGCACTGTCAAAGCCACATGCTGGTGAAACTTTAGGTCAGAATCAATAAGAACCCCGAGATCAGTGTGGGATTTCACGACCTGAATCGATGTTTGGTCTAAGTGATAGGACGGGGGAGGTAGGACATGGGACCTTCTTTGAAAGCGGATGACCACACATTTTTTCAGATTTAAGTAGAGACACCAGGACTCTGCCGTGCGTTGTAGCATCGTTATGTCCTTCTGACAAGCCTGTGAATCACGACAGTAGTTAGCTGGACTGTCGTGGCGTATTGTCATGTAGATCTTCAGGTCATCTGCAAATATTTTATACTGACAGAGGAGGTTACTTGCGACATGGTTGACGAAAATAAGAAAAAGAATTGGTCCGAGGACAGAACCCTGGGGTACGCCACTCGAGACGTTGCGCTGGCTGCTTGTCTTTCCCTTTACCTGGACTGACATGCGGCGACCAACAAGAAAGTCCTCGATCCAGCGGATGAGGGGGGTATTGATCCCTAGCAAATGTAACTTGGTGAGCAGAATAGGGTGAGATACTACGTCGAAGGCCTTGGAGAAGTCAAACATGATGACGTCAACGGTGTCGCCCCTGTCAAGGTGTCTGGAAACGTCATCGTAAACCAGCAGTAGTTGGTCCATGGTTGAGCGACCTGCACGAAACCCGAATTGGTGGTCAGACAAGATATTGTTGCTCTCGAGGTAGTCTGTCAGGTGGCGGGCGATTATTCGCTCTAGACACTTGCATGTTACTGAGGTCAGGCTAATAGGGCGATAATTAAGGGCTTGGTACCTTGAGCCTTTTTTGAAAATTGGCACAACTACCGACGATTTCCACTGGACAGGCAAGCGGCCTTCCCTCAGCGACTGGCGGAAGAGGAGTAATAATGGGTAAGTTAAAGCTGAGGCACACCTTTTTAGTAGGCAGGGGTGGATATCGTCCGCTCCCGCCGCAGAGAAAGCATCCAGGCACTGCAGGGAGGAGAGCACGTCCTGGGCACTGACGTAGAGTGGAGGCATCTGGCTGGATACAGACTGGTGATCAGTTGGGCCGCGACGAAGGGAAGGGCTGTGCAGGGCGGGTGTGAAAACACTGGCAAATGCAGTGACGAAAGCTTCAGCCATCAACTCTGGGTCGTCTGAGAGACTCCCGTCAGGTAGCTGTAGCGGGCCGACTCCGGGACAACCAACTTTCTTCCTGCGAAGGTAAGCATGAAAACGTTTGGGCTGTGTCTTAAGATCATTAAGTAGTTCAAGCTCGTAGTTGACTTGAGACTCAGTAGCAAATGATCTTAGCTGCTTGTTTGCCTTGAAAAAGTCTCTCAAGGCTACCTCTGCTGCGACAGAGCTTTTGCCAAGGCGGTGGCGGACAGACTTATACTTTGCCCAAGCTTCCTTTTTACTGTTCCTTAACCTGTGAGGAGGGTTAGTTTTCCATGGCAGCCTGTTTGAGATCTGTTGTGGGGCAAGGGGAACACATTCCTCAACAAGGGGCATCAGGACATTCACGAAACGGGTATACGCGCCACCGATGTCAAGCGCTGTAAACTCAGCATCCCAGTCAACCTCGTATAAGGCACGCGATAGGATGTTGTATTTGCCTTTCTGCCACTTCCGGTACTTAGCAGGGGCGATCTGCGAAGGAGACGTCTCAAGGTCAAACACATAAGTGCATAGTATCGGGCAGTGGTCGCACCCGGGTAAGGGAGGGAGTACCTGAACAGATCCAACTCTGTCTGCATCTGTGGACAGGACAAGATCCAGTATATTGCCCGAACGTGGGAAAGTGGGCACGATAACCCACTGGGTAAGCCCCAGAGACATGAATACTTCGTAGCCTTGCCTGTCAAAAGAGGAAGCGTGAGATATCGGACAAGAACTCTCCCAGGACAGCGTAGGTAAGTTGAAGTCCCCCAGAAGAAGGACTTCCCTGTCACCACAGAAGGCCAGCAGAAAGTCATATATGTGTGCTGTGTCCTCCAAGGAGGAGGATGGTGGCCGATATACCACTGCAACATGCAGGTTAAAATCAGGAAGGCGGACCGCTAGCACATTCTGATATGGCTTATTTACTTCATCAAACTTCACTGAGCTGTGGATGTAGAGGCACACGCCATGTTTGGGGAATCTTCCTGGTGTATCGTTCCGGACAATGTGGTAACCTGGAATGGTAATAAAACTGTCAGGCATAGAATGCAGCAGATGAGACTCTGTAATAGCAAGAAGGTGAAGTCCATGATCGACAAGGAATTCCTGAACGAATGGCACCTTCCTGGTAAGGGAGTTAACATTAGCCTGGCCAATCTTCAAAATAAAAGTAGATCCACTGAACAGTAACGTATTTACAGTAACGTAACGAACAGTAACGTATTTGAAAAACATATATAAGGAAAGCCATGAATACTTAATTTAAACTTACTTATCTCAAAACCGATCCCTCTGACTAAAAGCGTTTGCATTTATTAATTATTTGTACAGTGGAGACAATATATACAGTTATGGCGCAGGTGATTCGATAGATGATCAAAATAATAGACAAAAGGCTACAAAATGATAAAAGCACGGTGGTTCTGAAATGAACAAACTTTTTGTTGTGAGCTCATTTATTTCCTAGTTCCTACTTCCTACCATTGCTTTGCTAATAATTTTCTAGATTTTAATTAATTTTAAAAATCAGAACGTTTCGCCACATTTATGAGTCAGTATTCACCGTTTTTTAATATTAGTGAATAGTGGCCCGAGTGGGTACCTACGAGAATGAGTTTGACTCCTACGAGCCCTGCAGGGCTCATTTGGCGCATATAGAGAAATGTCGGTCGCCAATTTAGCCTGTTTATGTTCTTATTTTGATCATTAACAACCAAAGATTATTCAAAAACGATTTTTTTTTTTTCGCCTTATAAGTTGCAAACTATTTTACAACTGTTCATAAGTAGATAAAGGGTATACGCCATATATGGAAGGCTTTTGATGTCAATACCTACCTATACAAACATACACACATAATTACATACATACATACAAACATACCTACCTATGGTAGTTGTATCTGACAAGTGATAGGCAGCTACGAATTTCGGAGCGATAGGCCGTACCTATACGGCCGGGCTATGTAGGATAGGTACATATATAGGATTACGACCGTTAACGCCGCTGCTTAGCACAGTTTTGAAGCTTGCTGACCGATCGACCGCGGGCATCTACTGCTAGAAGCACCATCACGAGCCACGACCAACAGCAGCTGCAACTAAGGGTAGCAGAAGTCGCTGAAAGTCGCCGACAATCCGCAAAGTTGGCGACTCCAACTATCATGCAGGCCGAGCTGGGGACTAGCCAGTCAGACTGCATACCTCTTCTCCAGGATCGCATCCCTTAGGTACACATGCTGGGGCACGACCCTAACCCGTTCTATGGGCGCGGGCTATAAAAGGCCGTGTAGCCCGCAATATGGGTGCATAGGTATGTATGTAGAACGGGCCCCGAAACAAAATAGTTTTAGATTATATCAACATCCCTGATAATGTAAAGTGGGAAGGTAGGAATTTGTACCAGCTCCTTGGCAGACCATTCACAAAGAATCTCCTGCCGACCATGGACAGTGGCCAAAGACTAAAATATAATGATAGAATATGAGACATTGATGCCTCAGATTCTGCACCAGAACCTACATGTTTACATATTTCAGTACGTTTGAGGTATCACACACGCTTGTCGTTTACATTAGGCCCGTTTTTTTTTTCTCGAAGATTGCAGCAGGGCAATATCAAGTAGGTTTACCCTGTCGGTGTTTATACGAGTATACACACAGAGTTGACAGAGTGCAGTGCTGTCTGGGTCCGGGCAGACATGTTCGGGCAGCCGGGACAGACAGTTGTCTCCCGACGGCGCACCATGTCGGCCGGACGTCGGGCCGCTCTGCTGCTGACGCTGGCGGCCCTCGGCAGCCAGGCGCGCATCCAGCGGCGCTGTTTCTCGCAGGGTCTGGAGCGCTACTTCCAGGAGGGTTCCCAGTGGACAGAGCCGACCTGCCGGCGCGGCCGCTGCCTGCGCGGCAGGGTGGTGCTGGACGACTGCCCGCCTCTGGTCGATCCGCTGCCGCCCGACTGCCACCCCGCCGCCGGCCAGAGCGACGCGCCCTTCCCCGACTGCTGCCCCCAACTCGAGTGTCACCAGCCCGACCAGACCTGCTATGTGGAGGAACTCGATCGACACGTATCCGTCGGGGAGACCTGGACGCTGCCCGGGTGCGGCCAGGGCACATGCAGGGAGGGAGGGGCCGTCTCCGGTAAGGGATGCGGCCTGGTTGGGATTCCTCCCGGCTATCCCTGCTCCCTGAACGACGGTGATGACAGTTTGGAGTATCCCGAGTGTTGTCCAAGAGTCACATGCCCTGAGTGTTACTCCGAGATCCTCGACCGCTTCTTCGGGCCTGGAGATACCTGGACAGGCCCAGGCTGCACAAAGGTGAAGTGTGGGGTAAGTACTCTGGAACGGTGGATATCAAAATGAGATGTAGGTACCGATTTCGTTTATACAGCGCATCATCGTCACGACTCCATAACTTCCGCAACCACGTCCTGTCCGGGGGAAAGGGCCCACGAGCCGAGTTAAAAGCGGGGTGTTCAAAAATACTCCCCAGCAGGACGTGAAACTCCAGGACCCCCAGCGGGGCGCAGGGTAAAAGCTAGATTCATTTTTGATGTTATCCCTGTACCCTGTGCGATGTTCTGGCATTGTATATGTGTCCCATCTTATATCGTTTCCAGGTGGACAGTGCGACCAACACGGTAGTTCTCAGCGCTGTGCCGTGCCCGCTGGAGGCCCCTCCGTTCCCGGATTGCGAGCTGGTCGACGGACCGACGTCGGCAGAGTACCCCGCCTGCTGCCCCACACTGCGCTGTCCAGACCGCTGCTTCTCCGAGAGTCTGGGCCGCTGGTTCTCCAAGGGCGACGAGTGGACCGAGGAGGGCTGCACCCGAGCCCGCTGTGTGGACACTGACCAGGTGGCCTTGCTGCCATGTGGACTGGTGGCCGCCGACGGGCCCAACTGTCGTGTGGTACCCGGCAACGCCTCGGCCGACTACCCCGCCTGCTGCGTCTCTGTCGAGTGCGAGATCGACAGGCCCTGCTATGTGGAGGAGCTCGATCGACATTTTGCCGTCGGGGAGACCTGGACGCTGCCCGGGTGTGGTCAGGCCACCTGTGAACAGGGAGGGGCTGTCTCCGGTAAAGGATGCGGTCTGATTGGGATTCCTCCCGGCTATCCCTGCTCCCTGAACGACGGTGATGACAGTTTGGAGTACCCCGAGTGTTGTCCAAGAGTCACATGCCCTGAGTGCTACTCCGAGATCCTCGACCGCTTCTTCGGGCCTGGAGATACCTGGACAGGCCCAGGCTGCACAAAGGTCAAGTGTGGGGTAAGTACCTACTCTGGGACGGTGGATATCGAAATGAGATGTACCGATTTCGTTTATACAGCGCATCGTCACGACTCCATAGCTTCCGCACCACGTCCTGTCCGGGGGAAGGGGGGGGGGGCTCTGTACGATTTACACCACTTGGCTGCTGAATCCCGTATAGGAACAAGCGGTGAGCGGAGTCGAAAATTGTCAAACAATAAGATAAGTTTATTGGTCTTTTCTAGCATTCAAGGTCAGGTCCCAAGGTCAATGGAGTTAAAAAAGGTAATTTTTATTCATCTTTGCATTACGGAACAAATCGTCCCATAGATAATCAATCTGAGGTAAGTTGAAGTCAGTTAACCCTCGCCAGACCTATTGGTTTTCTACATACGCGCTGGCCGAGGGGGGGGGGCGGGTACGACCCTCCCCCTTCGCCGTTTCGCCCCAGGTGGAGCTAGCGCTTCGCGGAAAAAACGAGCGTGTGCGTCGTTACGAGACGCAGAGATTGATAGGGTAGTGTGGGGTAATTTGAACATATTTTTACGTCTTATCAGTTGTACCAAAGTCCAGCTCAACCCTGGATGAAGAAAAACTGATTCAGTAGCGCAAGTGTCACTTGCTTTCGCCATGCAAGCCTCATTTTTGGACGAGCCGAGCATACCTTGAATAGCATAGCCTCTTTTCTCCACCAAGTCACGGTGTGTTCAAATTGCCCCACCGTGGGGTAATTTGAACATACTGCCTTTACCTGTCATAAAAACGATAGTCTCGCCAGCACCGATGTTGGTTGACCCATAAACAAATAGGCAGAACAATTCTAAACATACCTTCACTTGAAAAATCAACACAACAACAAAAATAACAGTTGCAGAGTATCAATATCTGCACGCTGCACTCCTGTCAGTTGAAAGAATTCGCCTCTCTTCAATTAACAGAACGTCTATCATTTTTGTCCGATAAAACCTCTCCCAACCTTACTGCATCTGTTATAGTGGTCAGGTGCCAATAGAAACCTGGACATTTGGAGTTCTGATTTTGTCCAATGTACAATTCGGAATTGGTTGGACAAAGGTAGCAGACTGGACAACATTGGACGATGGCTTGCTACACTTCAGCGCTTTTTATAAAGTAATCGTGCATAGCATTGATTGGCGACCGCGAACGGAAAGCTTGTTAAGCTCTCAATATAATAAACATTTTTCGGCTGGTAAAATTACATCATAAGCAATTCAAATGACATTTTTGAGTGTTGATTAATGCGCAATTTTCGGACATATTTGGACAAATGGCTGACTTTAACATTTTTGAACGGAAATCAACGAAAATACCGGACACTAGACGGATATTAGACGTAAATTTTATAAAACTGGTATCACTAATCTGCTACTGCTTTGGGTCGAAAATATTGGCAAAAAAAAACTGGGAACGTTGTTTTTTCGGAGCTATCCCTGTTTTCACTGCAATTCTTACACTATGTTCAAATTACCCCACGCTAAAAGTTATTTTGACATATTTAAAAACAGTTTCAAAAGCAAATTTCTTGGATTGAAGGCACTGATTAGGTCATTGTACAACAAAAGCCGTTGCGTAATAGGCGCTAGCAATGCAAGATTTTGCGCTGCAATGAAGTTGCAATGACGTGTTTTTAGGCGTTTTTACTTGCGAAATTGATTTTTTACAGTGTGCGTCAACATCTTCATTCCCTGAAACTTTAAACCCCGTTCATATGATAGCCCTTTTAGTTACGATAATTTCCCTCATTGGTCTTATTGTCATGCCACTTATGGATTTTCCGTAATTTTGTGTTTTTCACACTATGTCTGCCCCACATGTTCAAATTACCCCACCCTTCCCTACCCGATTTTAAGGTCCTAAGTCAACCGGTGACCTCTGAGGTCAGGTCAAGTGCCCCAAGGTACTGTTCCGTTTTTGGAGAATAACTTCGCAAAAAATGGCCGCAGAGCCGCGATTTTGGCAGCATCGTGTTCGCCTCGCTCAGGCGCGCCAAATGATATAATTTTTATTTGAGTGAGGTCAACTTAGGGTGTTGACCTCAGGTCACGCACCCCCATGTCACGAACTTGGTTGAAGTAGGTCATGTCGCATATTATTCGATTTGGCAGGTCTTCTTGAGTCCATTGGTGGCTCTCCCGACTCGCTAGCTCAATTTGATAGGGAGTTATCCCGCGCCCCGCTGGGGGGGGGGCAGAATCTGCCCCCTCCCGTTTTTCGCCAATAACTTCTAAACGCGTTACGCCAGCCACGTCAAACTTTCAGTACCTTATCATACATCAATTTGACACGTTTCCTGAAAATTTGATCGAAATCCGTCGGAAAATTGTTGAGAAATTGACGTTTTAGTGACGTCATGTTCGCCATTTTCGCCTTAAAAACGGCAAAATTTCAAACGCCGCTAACATCTTCATTTTTTAAGGAATCAAGACGTAACAAAAAAGGTTATACGTGATTTTACTTTGTCTATCAAATGGCTATCTCGGTTTTTTGAAAACTTTGGATTTGGGCCCAATTTTTTTCTTTCAAAAAACTGACTTTTTTTGGGAAAATATTTATAAAATCCAAAATTTTGAGTGTATCGAAAAAACCGGAATATATGTCAAAGAAGTGGTCTATGTGCACCTACATACCAATTTTTAGAAGAATCGGTTCAAAAATGTGGGAGTTATTCAAATTTTTTTATGACGTCACGACAAACAAAAATTTTGAAAAATGATTTTTTTTTGAAGTTCTAGACCTCGTACGGAAACAAAAAAAAAGCACCATTCGATTCGTCGTGAAAAACTGCATCAGATAGACACCTTTTTAGGCCTTAACAACCAACTTCAAAATTTGACCTCACTTGACCTGACCTTGACCTGACCTCAACCTGAAATTCATCCAGAGGTAGTCCATATCACTTATTGAGTGTGCCTATTGAATTCTATGAGTAAAATGACCCATAAAACATGTGTCGCACATGCCCTTTTCTATATTTTGTTTTTGGTGACCTGACCTGACCTGACCTGACCTTGACCTTGACCTTTGAATGACATTGTATGCAACGAATATTGTTTTGGTAGGCTAAGAACACGTTTTGGACAATCAGTCTCAGTCCATTCTTCGGCAACTACGGTGCAAGGCCGATACTGTAGGAACTTGCATTTTGAACCTGACCTTTGCCCTGACCTAAAAATTGACCGAAGTTATTTCATTTTTTTGACGCTCTTTCGAACGACGCCTACGTCGTCTTGCTACGTGGCTGGCCCACGAGCCGAGTTAGAAACGGGGTGTTCAAAAATACCCCCAGCAGGACGTGAAACTCCAGGACCCCCAGCGGGGCGCAGGGTAAAAGCTAGATTCATATTTGATGTTATCCCTGTACCCTGTGCGATGTTCTGGCATTGTATATGTGTCCCATCTTATATCGTTTCCAGGTGGACAGTGCGACCAACACGGTAGTTCTCAGCGCTGTGCCGTGCCCGCTGGCGGCCCCTCCGTTCCCGGACTGCGAGCTGGTCGACGGACCGACGTCGGCAGAGTACCCCGCCTGCTGCCCCACACTGCGCTGTCCAGACCGCTGTTTCTCCGAGAGTTTGGGCCGCTGGTTCTCCAAGGGCGACGAGTGGACCGAGGAGGGCTGCACCCGAGCCCGCTGTGTGGACACTGACCAGGTGGTCTTGCTGCCATGTGGACTGGTGGCCGCCGACGGGCCCAACTGTCGTGTGGTACCCGGCAACGCCTCGGCCGACTACCCCGCCTGCTGCGTCTCTGTCGAGTGCGAGACCGACAGGCCCTGCTATGTGGAGGAGCTCGATCGACACTTTGCCGTCGGGGAGACCTGGACGCTGCCCGGGTGTGGTCAGGCCACCTGTGAACAGGGAGGGGCTATATCCGGTAAAGGATGCGGTCTGATTAGAATTCCTCCCGGCTACCCCTGCTCTGTTGATGACGGTGATGACAGTTTGGAGTACCCCGAGTGTTGTCCGAAGGTCACTTGCCGAGAGTGCCACTCCAAAGCCCTCGACCGTTTCTTCGCTCCCGGGAAAACGTGGACGGAACCTGGCTGCATCAAGACTAAATGTACCGTAAGTAAAATATTTCCTTTCTACTCAACAGGCATCATCTGCACAAGCAAGTTACAATTGCGGGAACTGAGCCGAAAATTGAAAAATGACCATATTAGTATCACATTTGATATAAATTCATATGAAGAATTATTACTGATTCAGAAAAAAAATATACAAATGGATAATTACTACATCCAATAGATGACTCGTTTACAGGGTAATTTAGCACTACTTAAGCTTAAAGTTGAGTTATGCTAAGTAGTTGAAATTCTTGGTTGTAAACATAAGTTTATAGGAAGGGTTCATCAGGGCTCAGTCATGGCGCCACCTCTTGTCATATTTTTATTGCCGCGATGCCTACAACATGGGCAGAAGTGGTTTGCGAGAAGGTGATTATATTGAGACTTGAGATGCTTTCGATCTACGTACATTTGTCAGCTAGACAGCTACCAATTTAGGTCTGAACTCATCAGCCGGCATCGATCTTAAAGCCAAAACGGTCATACCCGTAAAGGTAGGGAGCGATAACTGCTAAGTGATCAGTGATCACCACCTTTAGCCACTCTATGATCATTGCAATTTAATGGCTATTTGCCTTCACAAAACCTTATTTCTTCATCAGCATTTACAAGGGTCCTTTCTTTGGATTGTCACGAAGGCACATATAACTCAGTCTCAGTTCACAGATCTATCAATAACCACTTTGTACTGTTTTTGTCATTCACCTCCTGACTAAGCTCCAGGCGACTAAACCGCTATGTTTTCAGTTGGACGAGCGTGGGTCAGCGACAATGAGCGCTGTGCCGTGCCCGCTGGCGGCTCCTCCGTTCCCGGACTGCGAGCTGGTCGACGGACCGACGTCGGCAGAGTACCCCGCCTGCTGTCCCACACTGCGCTGTCCAGACCGCTGCTTCTCCGAGAGTCTGGGCCGCTGGTTCTCCAAGGGCGACGAGTGGACCGAGGAGGGCTGCATCCGAGCGTTCTGCACCGGCACTGACCAGATCAGCATGCTGCCGTGCGGACTCCGGGCTCTGCCGAGGCCCGACTGTGAGCTGGTCTCTCCATCCGCCGGCGCCGAGTACCCCCAGTGCTGCCCGGTACCGCGCTGCCCGGGCGCCTGCTTCTCGCGCGGCCTGCAGAAACTGTTCGAGATCGGCAGCTCGTGGACCGACCCCGGCTGCAGGCACCTGGTCTGCATCGGCACCGATATGGTGGTCAACGACGAGCAATGCGAACTCGACTGGATCCCCTCCGGCTGCGACGTGGTCGACGGCAAGGGCGACACGTTCCCAGGCTGCTGCCCCACTATAGAGTGTCCCGATCCGTATTAGACGACGCTGCCCCATTGCTGAGTGTGACAATGCGTAGACACCAGACGACGCTGGACTACGGAGTGTGACCATCCGCTAATCATTGTTAAATGCACGAATGATGCTTCTTTCTGTCTTTTATGTTATGCTTTGCAGCAAACAGGCCCGACAGGCCCGACTGTGAGCCGGTCCCGTAGCTCAGTTGGTAGAGCGTTGGACTCCGCGTGGTGAGAGCACGCGTTCCCGGTTATAACAGTCCGGGTTCGAAGCGCGACGGGCGCTTGACATTTATGGGCCTCCTGACAGGTATGGTTGCGGTTGGTGGCAGGCCGAAGCCAGGCGAAGTCAGTGAGGGGACCGGCCGTGCGCGGCTATGTGCGTACGTTAAACTTTGGATTCTAAATTCTGCCATAGGACTGGAATTGCGCGATCGGAGGGTAGAGGGCAGTGTCACCGCAACAAGCTTCGCTTAGCGGTGGCTCTGTCCTTGTGAATCCTTCCTATCAAAAGGTTCGGACTAAATTTATAAAAAACAAAAACAAAATGCAGTGCATTCTGGATGAAATGAAAATATATTCCTTTCATCGTTTTATTACTGGCATGAAGGAATTTGATCGGAGGTCGAAAAACGGGCCTTGGCCCTTGATGCACTTAAACTGTACGAGTATGTTGCAACGCACAGTGTCAATCAGAGGAAAGGGAAGGCAAAGCATGAACCCGTTTTTATTGAAAAAAAAACGTTCCCTGTGGAAAGCATATTTGAACAATAAATATATCAGCAAGGCTATATGTGTTTTAGGTAGGTACACACCGCGCATTGTTTTGGTATCGTTATCTATCCGACTAAAACAGTGCTTCAACGGTTCAGACGAAAATGTGCCGGTACGAAAATGTCGCCAGTACGGTCGGTATGGTGATGACGTCACATCACCATACCGACTGTATTCCATCAGGGATAAGTGTCACAAAAAGCATCATTTGATTTTTGAGTTAAACATAGTTTTCAGAGAAAAAGTGCTTTTCATAGTATGTTGAGTTTTCACTAAGCCTTATGGCAAGCAATATGCTGCCAGCGTTCAGCGCGCCATGACAGCACATGACGCCAGCACTCAGTGCAACTGATACTAGTGCGACATTGCGCAGATGTTGCGGCATTGTTCCTTGGCGGATGGTCTGTCTGCCGTGTGTCTGCACCAATCGAGCTGTCACCGACCCGGACGACTGGAACACTTGTGCTGCACCGCTTCATCACGATACCGAGTGGCGTCTGTCCAGCTCCTCTGGCCCCTGAGTGGCATCCACAGGCGCGAGTGGCATCCACAGGCGCTTGTCACACCACGCCCGTCTCCAGAGAGTGACGAGCGCGTCATCGGCGGCAACGAGTTGGCGTCAGTCGGACCATCTGTGCGCGTGCCCGGGCGGTATAAAAGCCGCACTCTGCGGAACATCAGCACGACAGCAACATGTTCCGCCTGGTGCTCTCCTGTCTGCTGCTGGGCGCCGGCCTCGCCAAGCCGTCGCCGGGTGCGGTCTCTGGCAAAGTCCCGGAGATCTCTCCACGTGAGCCGAGCTACGAGGCACAGCCGCTGCCGAGGGGAAATGGCGAAGCGAGGACCATGTACACACTAGATCCTGGCACTTACTCCCTCAAATCTCCCAACTATCCCTACAGATACCCAAACAATGCCTACAAGACCTACACGGTGCGGGGAAACGACAATCAGATAATCTCTATCTCTTGCGAGAATTTCAACATCGAGAGCGCTATCTCCTGCCAGTACGACTACCTCTCCGTCAACGGCCAGCGCTTCTGCGGCTCCACCGGGCCCAACTTGAGCGGCACTGTCCTGGATATCGTCTTCAAATCGGATGAGGACGTCAGGAGGACGGGTTACAAGTGTACCATCACAGTGCCGACAGGCAGCGGTAGCGGCAGCACGGCGGCCACCACCGAGGGCACCACCGCGGCCACCGGCAGCCCCTCCGGCGACCAGTGCTGCGGCGTCGCCAACCGCGCCTCCCGCATCGTCGGCGGCGTGCAGACCGAGGTCAACGAGTACCCGTGGCAGGCGGGTCTGGTCAGCACGGGCAGCACCCGCACCTGGTGCGGCGGCACCGTCATCAACAACCGCTACGTGCTGACGGCGGCACACTGCACCGCCGACCTGCAGTCGGCCAGCGAAATCCAGGTCCTGCTGCGTGAGCACCGCATCGGCACCTCGGACGGCGAGATGCGCTACAACGTGGCGCAGATCATCAACCACCCGTCTTACACGGACGCCTACGAGTCCGGCTACGACTTCTCGCTGCTGAAGCTGTCGTCCACCATCGACTTCTCGTCACTGGACAACAAGGTGGCCCCGGCGTGCCTGCCGACCGGCGGAGAGTTCGCCAACGTGAGCGCCATCGTCAGCGGCTGGGGAACCACCTCTTCGGGCGGCTCTCAGGCCACCGTGCTGCGGGAGGTCACCGTGCAGACCATGACCAACGACCAGTGCCGCCGGGAGTACGGTCGGCTCGGCTACACCATCAACAGCAGCATGCTGTGCGCCGGTGACGATGACGGCGGCAAGGACTCCTGCCAGGGCGACAGCGGCGGCCCGCTGGTGACCGACGTCAGCGGACGCTACACGCTCATTGGCGTGGTGTCGTGGGGCTACGGCTGCGGCGACGTCGGTTTCCCGGGCGTCTACGCGCGCGTGACCGAGGTCACCAGCTGGATCCAGCAGAAAACCGCCGATGCCAGCCTCTGCTAATCACCTCTTATAGGAAATGACCTGCTAATGACCTGAATCAAGGACCTTCTATGGATGATTGGCGCTTTAGGGTTTTCTATCGTTCAGACAGTTTTGGCGTCACTTCTAAACATTACTTTTTACTTCTGAGTGGGGTCCCTTCTAATATAGTTTGCGGGAAACCTTGGTTGAAATAAATTATGTGTTATACAATGAAGTGGTTTGAGTCAGTTTTTACTTTTTTTATTAAACCATACCAAAGGCTCTGTTACACCCCATCCGTTCGGAAAGAGAGAGAGAGAGAGAGAGAGAGAGAGAGAGAGAGAGAGAGAGAGAGAGAGAGAGAGAGAGAGAGAGAGAGGGAGGGAGGGGGGAGGGAGGGAGGGAGGGAGAGAAGGAGGGAGGGAGAGAGAAAGAGAGAGAGAGAGAGAGAGAGGGAGAGAGAGAGAGAGAGAAAAAAAAAGAGAGAGAGAGAGAGAGAGAGAGAGAGAGAGAGAGAGAGAGAGAGAGAGAGAGAGAGAGAGAGAGAGAGAGAGAGAGAGAGAGAGAGAGAGAGAGAGAGAGAGAGAGAGAGAGATTATACACAATTATAGTAGTGGTGCTTCAATCCAACGAGATTAAATAAGTTCATTTTCAGCGCATTATAATACTGATGCTGCGTATTAATGCGCATAAAGAGAAGAAAATTACCACAACCACTGTACAAACTACAAACGTGCAACCAGTAACCACTTGGTATGCACCTACACAGTTGTCGTCCTCCTGCCACAGACAAACCACAACACCGTAGAACGACTGCAATAACTCACCGCTCTTCTATCACCGGCCGTCTGCCCGGCATGGGTAACCGTTCCCGACACAGTCAAAACACAGCGTTGACGCTGAGCAGCAACTGACAGCCGGCGAGGCGCGGTGTATAGGTGTAGGTAGTGCACGGCACTGGACGACGGGTGGCGAGGTGCGGCAGGTGGCGCGCCCTGCGACGCGCCGCCGCCGCGCCGGGACGTGCCGCGAGCTGGAACCTCAGAGCAGAGGTAGGCCGCCGGTGAGCGCGGGCAGACGTGTGCCGCGGACGGTCGGACTCACGGCGCAGTGTGGTTCGGTGACGAGAAACTGAAACAGTGTGAGTTTCGAGAAGTGGGCAGCGGAGTGAGAAAGGTGACGGAATCTGGACAAAATCTAGATAGTGACACCTGTCGGTCGATATACGGCGGCATAGTGGTGCTAGCGGAATCGCTTCATCGCTCGCGGCGCTTCTCGGTGGTGGCGATCCAGGTCTCTGTGCTGCCCGGCTGTCCTCTGACCCGTGTGAGAGCCCCCTCCAGCTCACTGTCGGGTCGAGATGCCGCACACTTTGGAGTCGGCCGACGGAGGACGGGAGGAGCGGTTCCGCATCCCGCGACCGTTCGGCCTCCGACGGGCCTGGACGTTCCGGCGTGACTCGCCCAGCCCCAAACAGATGCGCCGCTCCAAGCTGCAGAGGCGCAAACTCTCCCGGATCCTCACAATGTAAGTACGGAGCGCTCAGTTCAGGCGCATCACATCCGATGATACACAAGCTGAAGCGCAGCCCACTTACAATTACATGCTGATCAGCCGGTAAAAGTGTGATTTGATTACGATTGAGAATTGTTCCAATATGCACGAGCATTTACCTATTTTCACATTCGGCACATAAGAACACATTCAGATGCGTTCGACTTGCAGATAGGTATCCAATTCTAGCTCCACAGCTAAACTAGGTATATGTGTTAAAATGTCATGCGATGAGAATTTGTTGCTCTTCATAAAACAACGGGATATCAGTATTGACGCGCACACGGTAGGTAATGACGGTACCGGTCCCAATAGCATTCCACGGGCGTGGAGACCCAATCGGAGTAAATCTCGACTACGTGGGAAACACAAACCGTTTGCAGCGTATTACGTCGTAATGAGTGCTTAAAACAGTGGGTATTACCCAAGGACTGTAACAAACTACTTGTCAGTTTAATTAGAAGGCACATCGTCAGGGAGGGAGCGACCTCCTAGTGGGTGTACTAAGTGCTTCATAACGGCTGCTGGGTCGCTGGGGTCTCATGGCTGTCGCAGCGCTGACTAGCTAATTATCGTGACTGGTGCACCGCTCCAACTCCAAGTGGTGCCCAATGGACAGCACACTGAGGATGGAAAATGCAACGGTTTCCTGTGGACTATACCATATTTCTTGTTTGATTCGAAATCATTGATTCATACGTTTTGCGAGATGTATGTACATATTTCATAGTAAATGGTGTTAAAAGTGGCTTAAAATGTTGCGACAAAACATGGGTACTACCTACCAGTAAAACGCCTTTTGGGCGAAGAACGAGCGAGCGAGATAGTGAGCCCTGCACGTGCAGAAGGACGAGAGGGTACTTCCAACGGGCTTGTGCAAAGCACCCTTCTAACCGGTCGCTAGCGGTGTACCAAATTTGAACACAATCGGCCCAGCCGTTCCTGAGATCTGGAAGCGGCATTCTGCACGTGCGCACGTGCAAACGGGGTCCAAAATGACTTTTGCACGGCACCCTACTAACCGGTCCCCAACCGTGTACCAAATTTGAGCGCAATCGGCCCAGCCGTTCTCGAGATCTGGAAACGCCCCCTGCACGTGCGCACGTGCAGTAGCACCCTAACTGCAACACATGTGAATGCATTGCCTGATGGGTGCCTACCTGTATGCCAAGTTTCAGCGAAATCGCCCCAGTAATTACCGAGTTACTGAAATGGGAACAAATTTGGCACCTCTTATTGTTGTATTTTGCACGTGCAGTGGGGGTCACTCACATAGATGAAGAGTATCCGACCTTTGGTAGAAGGGATGCAGCTACCCTATAAAAATGACCGCAAGACAATCGCTCAAGCCGCTGCTGAGATATGGGCCTCTCAAAATCATTACTTTTGCAAAACTGCTTGAACACCCTTGACTTTTCACGTGGCACGTGCCACGGCGGTCACTGAGATGTATCAAAAGTAGTCAATTACGGGGTAGAAGGGATGGGGCTACCCAGCAAAAAAGACCGCAGGCCATTCGGTCCAGCGGTTGCTGAGATATAAGCCTCTCAAAAGCGTTACAGGCCGGGCGGGGCGGGCCGGGCCGGGCCGGGCCGGGCCGCTCATACTGAGATTTTTCCGTTATATTGAAAAGACTTCGCTTCGCTCGCTGCGCTCGCTCGCTCGTAATTAACTCTGCGAACTAACATTTGGTATTCCGTAACCTGTTACGGACAAACGTTTAGGAATAAAGTCAACTCAGCACACCACAGCATGTTTGCAGAATCCGAAAAAACTCGAAGTGCTGACAGTGCATAGAAAAAGAATGTCGGTTGCCGACATTGAAGCGAGCCGGGAGCAGTGCTGCGCCGTCTTTGGTCATAAATCATTTCCTGCTGACCACTGCTGGCGTGGGGGCACCACCCGGTGACCTCCGCCCACCCCGCTGACCCGGCCCCAACAGCTGACAGCTTGGGTCACATGACGCGACGGCGGCCTGTCATCCAGTGGGGTGATCATATCGGTGGAATGGCAGCAGTTTCCGCTGAATGCGATATTTTTCTGGGATCATTCTCACGATTATAGCCAATAGGCATGTTAATTCGTCTCCTGGTGAAACAGTGAACTAAAAGCAAACCATTGTTCTTGCTGTCGTGTGCCACAGCACAGAATGGCTTGACCTCTGAATAGGGCGGTAGGTGATGGCAGCCCGCCGGTATCGCCTTCTGATCACTGTGGTGATCAGTAGTCAGGAAGTTCGCAGCGATACACAGGGGGCGCGATGTCGCTCTGATTCGTCTATCACGCTCAAGTCGTGAGTGCCGAGTCGCGTGTCACCAGGCCGTCGTGTGGCGACACACGTCAGCAGCCTTCCGCTGATTGTGTGGTGGCTCCGTGATAAAACTGGAACTTCACCTCCGAACAATCGGTAGTTAAAACCAAACCCATCGGTACGCACGAACAGTCGTTAATGAACTGCGCAGCTCGACTGTGCCACATGTATTCAGCCATTTTACTGTGGGTAGCTTTGAAAGTCAGGCGAGCTTCGAAAAATTACCAATCTCACTGTCAGTTGTGTCATCAACTTGCCCTTTCACTTCACACTTTGACACTTTCTTTGTCTAAGAATTAATTAGCCTTGCCACCGTGCCTGCCTGTGGGGCTCCGATATATCCGGAGTCTGCTCGATACCGTCTAATTGTTGCCCTTTGACTACCTCATCCCCCGGCCAAAGGTCAGATTCCATCAGCCGCTGTGCCTTCACCAGTCGTATTGGAGCAACCTCCTCTAGTTAGCACCAGTCGTCCTATAAAGGGGTAGTATTCCCAGCGGTAGTGGTGCCCGCTGATGACCTCATGTTGGATGAACGCTAGATAGTACCAGCTTCTCCCGGCATCGCAGTCTCCAGAGACTGCAGCTCGTGGCTCGCACAAGAGAGTAACCCGAACCGTTTCCGTACAGTCGTGCCGCTATCACACGCCGGCATGGGACATCCGCACGCGCCGCAGAGACCAGCAGCGCTTCTAACCGGTCACATAGCGTCGAAGCACACGAATTTCGCGGCACGACAACAAGCAGAGACAGATGGTGCCTCGCTCAAACGTAGTGTGCGCATAGCTTCCTGAAACCGGCAGCTGCGGCGGCAACAACGGAGAGACGGCCTGCGTCGTGGGAATCTAGAAAGAACGTCAGACTCCGCCCGCTGTTCACTGCCCGTCACCCACCGTGGAGGCCACTGACCGGCACGCCGCCCTCATAGCCCAAATCCTCACACGCACGCACGCATATTACCATCGCAGCCGGCCGAGGGCGCATTCCGGTGGTGCCTCAGCCGGGCCGTGAATGGTGACGTGACTGACGGTCTCAGGATGGCTAGAAACGGCGGCCGACGGTGGCTCCAGGACGGCTATAGACGGCTAGGAACGGTGACCGGCAGTGTTGAAACAGATCAGTAAAGGTGATCGTGACCGTTAGTTCCGGGATGGAGCGGTTGCGAGTGAATCAACTTGTAGGCGAATGAACAAATGAGAAAGCGGTGTGTGTGTGGTTAAGCCAGACAGCCTGAACCAACCGTTCTAAAAAAAAATCACTCAAAAGTCAAGCGCAGGCAGCTAGCAAAGGAGATGACAATGGTTTGCTCACTGCTGCGTTTAAAACAAGCCCAATGCGTGAGTCTTTAAAATTTCTCTTCCTCTGGTTACT